GCACTTACTAGGCCACTTATAAAAGGGGCTTGAGCATCCCAGCACTTTGGTGTCTGCAGCGGTCCTGAAACCAGTCTCCCACAGATACTGAGGAACCCCTGTATTTGGTATTTTATTTCCCAGCATCCTGAATATTAAAAGTAGGCAAGAGAAGGGACGCAGTGAGGGAGTTGGACGTGTGCATCAGAGGAACCCCGCCCCCTACTTTTCCTGCCTCCCTCCCCCACTCTGCACCCGCATAACCCTCCTTCTCCCACCATGCCTTCCCAGTGTGCTTCCACAATCTTTCTAGAAATCCATCTTTTGGAGGCCCACCAAGCCGGAACCTCCCTGCAATGCCCACGCGGCGTGGAATTGCCCCTGTTTACCATGGATCCCTGCACAGCACTGGCTAATTCTACACACAAACTGGGACCAGAAGTTGAACTATAAAGACAGGCACCTTAGCCTAGTGTTCCTGTGATCTAAAACCGGGGAGCACTGAATGCCTCTGATCTCTTCATTTCACGTTTCAGGAAATAAGAACGTGGGTGCACTGGGGGCTCATGAGAGCCTGGGTGTTTTCAGACTTGCACCCTTTCTGTAACCTGCTGAGTGAGACTGGTTAAGTAACACAGAACCTCTCTGAATCTCATTTCCCACCAATGAGTTTAAAAGGCTGATTTCTATGTCCTCTTCTAGTTCTGCAGGAGAACACCCTTGTGCTGTTCTCGTAGCTTTAAGAGATGAAATAGAGGGGTGAAGTTGTATTTATAGAATATTGGACAATATATTCATGTGCATATGTGATATGTACTAGGATGATACATGAACACATATGTGTCATTACGTATTGTATTTTATTTTATTTTATGTGATATATTGTATGTATAATATCCCAATGATCTGTAATATTAGACTGGATTTCTCAGCATTGAATGAGCCACCAGATGGCTAGGTTTGCTCTGAGGAAGGGTTATTTCACCACCTGCAAAAGACGTACGGAAGGATACCATTCACATGCTGTACCGTGGCTTTAAAATCCTAATGACCCTGGGACCCAAAGTTCACAGGAAAAGTGGACTGTTCTCTACCCACACACACGTTTTTTTTTTTTTTTTCCATAGTCATAAAACTGCAGCAAATCAAAGGGAGGATGATTCTGTGTTTTTATGTCCATGTACTTAGTATCAGGGTGGCTGGCAAACTTCTGAAATGTAAGATACACATGTAACAGCGAGCGCATGAGATTCATGTGTCTTTTTAGGAGAAATGTGATTCTAGGCACACATTTTGTTTGATTTTTTTCCAGCTGCTCATCTTGACAGTGCTTTTAATCTAAACCTTTTTAATTTTTGTGTGGGGAATCTATCAAAAAACTGGTAACCACAGCCATACCCGGAACATGGACTGATGATGGGTTGCTGGTAGCCAGAATATTCTGTAGTCTCTCTACCCAAACTTTTGCAAGAAAAGGTGGCAAGTTTACTGTATGGTTTTCACGGATAGGAGATTGTACATAAGTGCATTTCAGTAACCCTCAGCCACAGATCCCAGCAGTGCCTTGGAAAAGGCCACTGAGTTATCAATAAGATATGTGTCTGTTTAGTGTAGATTTTGCAGGAGCAAAGTGAAAGCTGTTCTCATTATCTATCAGAAAATATTGTAACATTTAAGCATGTTCTAATAAGCAGCCATCCCAGGAAACTACAAAACTGTCTTTGGAATGAAGTAAAATTTAGCAAATGGCATTCATTTATTTTTATATGTTCCTCTTTCCCTTTTCTTCTTGGCTTCTAATGATTGCAAATATAATAAAATTCCAATCTAGTACTGTTTTTCAAAAAATAGGAAAATGGTGAAAGGAGAATTTAAGGCCCTTTTCAGTTCTGCTGAAAATTCAGTAAGATGCCGCAGCGTGAAACCTGGTGGTAGCCACCCTGGGAACGTTCACAGCTGATTTCCAACTTGTTCAAAAAACCAGGCCGCAATATGTACTGTATATGTGGAAGACAATATCATAATTTTACTAGTGGTTTGATCCAGAGTTGAATTCCTTATTGTCCTCCAGGGCCCAGTACTCAGAAAGAAAAACAGTGAATTTCATAGTGAGCATTTTCCATACTCCTCTATTTAAAATTTAGGGAGCAAATTGACATCTTAATAGCATGCAGATACAGGAAACTGAAGAGGTAAAGCATTAGGTTTCCCAGCCTCAGAGTTTGTATCGGAAGCTCCTATATTTCCTACAAATACTGCTCTTTGGTGCCTGAAACCCGGTGGTTTCAGAAAAAGAAGAATTAGGTGTTTCTCAGCTGGAGCTTATAAATGCATCTGGACCACACCTTGGACATGATGATGCTTTTCATTTCCCGTTTGCCTGGTGTTGCAATTTTCTAACACTGTTGTGAGCGTGGGGGTCAAGTTGTGGCAGAGGCTCCGGCTGACTCCCACAGTGCACTTGGGAAGCGCATGGAATGAACCCTTCCCCAGTCTTCCTGCCTTAAACTCAGCCCTAGACTCCCAGGGCTTAGGAAGCAGCTTAGAGTGAAGAATTGTTTTTCTCTGAGAGTTGTGCCTGAACATTCCTGCGAAAGCAGACAGTCATCACTTAATCTCTGCAAATGACTATGATTTTGGCAGGTGTCAGCTGGTATAGAAATGGCTCGCATTAGAAGTCTTTTTTTAAGCATAGAGCAATGAGGGGGACTAATAAAAAATAATAATCCCACATGTGTCTGGCCGCAGAGGGGCTTGCCTGGAACAACTTGATTCCTGTTTGGTTTCTCAGTGGCACAGGTCGAGTGTGCTGCAGCAGATGCACTAATAGATAGTCTTTCTTCCAAGACTGGCTGAACATACCGCCACACCCACTGCCATGTATTCAGAATGATTCCCCTGGGTCACCCAGTGTCCCTCCCACAGTGTTCTTCCAAATGCCACTGGGTGCCCAAGGAATGTGAAGTTGAAATGCAGAGAAAACATAGTGGAAGCCCTGGCTGACCAGCATTCTTTCTGAGACCATAGAACTCTCTAGAAACCTGTTTCCTGCCATTTTCTTTCCTTGACTCCTAATAGTAGGCATTCAGCTGTGGCAGGCATTTACAGGGCAGAATTATGTTTTAGATGGTTTTTGAGTTAGCATTGCATGTTTTTTCTGCACAGGAAATTTCAGAGTGTGTGTGTGTGTGTGTGTGTGTGTGTGTGTGTGATCATCAGGAAGTGAGGGCCTGTCACAAAGATGAGAGGCAGGAGGACTAAGGAAGTCTCCATCTGGGCACACTGAATTATGCCATGACTGAATGAAATAGAATGTTCTAGAAAAAGGTAGTTTTGTTATTTCTGAGGGAAAGGGATGGCATGGTTGCTCGGGAACCTGGCCCCTTTTGTCCACAAAGCTAGTGCTTAAAACACTCAGCCCATAAGAGGCCTCTCACATGTGTGCCGGCCAGGCCTGCGTGACTCAGGGTGTTTGCGTTCAAGTCGAGTGTTGTGGGCTGGAGCGCTGAATCAGAGTCCAGATTTGCTTTGGTGACACATGAAAAGAGCATTGCATTTGAACTACACAAATATTATGCTTAAGTATTTTTCCTCCTTTTGGAGCCAAATAGGTCTTGTTAATGATAAAATCACTGCAATATAGTGGGCCCTTTTTCTGGTCTGGAATTTGAGACACCGTCAACAGTGCCAAGGGGCCCTGTAGCAGGAAGAAATGGCAAGCCATGGAGATTTGGAATCATAACACAAGTTATACAATTTAATTTTATAGTTGTAGCAGTGGCGAGCGAGAGGAAAATGGGCTGCCCCTAGCCCCACTCCTACCTCGGGCTGTGGGGAGTGGAGTCGAGGGCCCCCATTTTAATTTAGGTTCGGTGGAGGGAATAGGAAGGGGAACTTTCTGGGGGCAGTAAATTGGCTGCTTCTCCAGTCTTGTTCTGAAGCTGCTTGACAATCAGGGGTTTTGGTAAAATAGATCAAGGACTCTCCTGAAACAAACCTCAAGGATAGGGAAGGAACAAGAAACCATCCTCCTTGAAAGAGAATGGAATCACATTGCCTTTTGTCCTGTGTCCCTTTTATGGTACCCACAATGCTACTATCTCCAGTTTAATAGGATTTTGGTGATGGATTCAGAGAGAAAACTGGAGGTCCATGCAGCCCTCCTGACCCATCCCATGTAAGCCCCTCCACTTGCCACTTCCTGGTGACAGTGATTTAGATGAGGAGCTTGAGGACAAGGCAAGGACATCTATGGTCCCTACAGACACTGAGAATCCCTCTTCCCACCCCGGGATCCTGAACCCCCCAGGGAAGGCTCACCCAATCAGCTAGCTGATGGCTCCATGGGGACTCCCTTAGGCCAGCCCTCTGGGAACATTGGAGGAAGCCCACTCCCTCTTAGGGGTGCACCCAGGGAGTGAAAGAAGCTTCTAATAAGCCTTTGTGGAGAGGGAGAGGGGCTGCCCTACATGTACCAGGAAATCTGAGTGCCTGGGCTGTGGGTTGGCCACCCCGCCCCATTTCCTGTTGGAAGGGGCATGCAGCTCAGCCTCAGCGCCCAGAAAGCCTCTCAGACCTGCCATGGTCGGCTTTGCAGTGAGGAGCAGCATTCTGAGGCTGTGAGGATCACACCTCTGCGGCTGCCACAGTTCAGCCCGCAGCACGTGGCCCTGTGCCGGAAGCTTCCTTTTTTACCACCACTGCTGCTTCCACCAAGGCTGCACCAGCCGGCGTCCTGCTCAACAGAGATGGTGCAGAGGGCTGGAGTGGGTGCAGGGTGCACCTTGTGGCCAGGGTGATGAAAGGGGGCCTTGCAGTGCTAGGGGACAAACGCCCTGAACCCCCAGAGGCAGCATATCTACCCAGGGGTAAATGTCCAGTGAGTCCGCACTTTGTGGGTGAGGGCAGGGAGGGGAAAAGTAAGAGCCCTGTCCCCCAGCTTTAGAAATTCCACGATGCATTTTTCTGATCTCTTCCCTCCCTCCTTCCCTTTCCCTCTCCCCACCTGCTCCCCACAATAGGACATCGTCAGAAACTAGATGATCAGACCAAGCCGGGGAGCTTGTCCTTTTCCGAGCGGCTCAGTGAACTGGAGCAGCTGCGGCGCACGGCCATGAGGGTCAGCCCGCACCACCCAGCCCCCACGCCCAACCCTCGCGTGAACCACTCCACTGCCTTTAACCCTCAGCCTCAGAGCCAGATGCAGGGTAAGTACCAGGGTGGAGCCCACTTGCCACTTTGCCCTCACCTCAAGGGGCCACTGCACAGGAGGCCACCCACAGCAGCCCTGGCTTTTCCTGAAAACTAGAGGAAGCTCATTAGCAATGCAGACTCATGCCACGCCCACCCGCCGAGTCACAGCTGCACCTAGAGAGATCTGGATGGAGAAGCCTTGGTGCACAGGAGATAGAGGATACACAGTTACGCATATAGATCCCCATAGCTGTATACGCAGTGTTCTCTAGGTATCCATGGGAAATGGGTCCCAGACCCACAAGGATGCCAACATCCTTAGATGCTCAAATCCCTGTATAAAACTACATTGTATTTACATTTAATCTTTATACATCCTTCCATATACTTTATCTCTGGGTTACTTTTAATACCTAATGCAATGTAAATGCTGTGTAAATAGATGATGTTATAGTGATTCATGCCAAGAAAAGAAAATTTGTAAATATTTAGTATAGATGCAATTTTTAAAAAAATATTTTCAAATCACACTTATTTGCATCCTGACATGTAGCACACTATATTTAAACAATAACTTTTGGCTATGCTGTTTTTTTTTTTTTTACCTGCCTACCCATTAGGCTTGAAAATACACACAAAGGACATGCAACTCCAGGTGAATGGTCAGATGTTTCAGGGTCTTTTTTCCTTAAGATTATTTGTGAATTTTGTATCTAATATATGTTATTTTAAAAAATACAAAGCAATGGTAGACATGCCTGGATGCCATCACATCATGCATAATACCTGCAAATCAATAAAGAATGCAGGACTCCTTGCCCCATGGGGTTTGCCAGCAATTACAAAAACACTGTGAAATACAATTATTGCATAAACCCCACTGTGCCAAGTTAGATAATAGGCAAGGTTCGTTTACACGGTAGAAGTGCTGACATCAGTGGCTGCTCTGCGCTACCCTTCTGAGGATCCAAAGTGCAGTCGTCTTCTCTGTGCTGTGCAGTGCACATCTGTATATGACACGGTCACAGTAACAGCCCTTTGTCAAAGAAGCAGGCTTGTTCAACTCAAAGCGGCAGATAAACAACACATCTGCAGAGGAGGCAGGCAGCCAGCAGCGGATGTGGTAGCTCCTTGCCCTCCTTGGACAGCAGGAATGAGCTTCCCCAGGCGTTTTCTAGATGTGAGTCGTGTTATGGGATGTGCAGGCATCTGCTTGGTACAGTTTCTGGGCCGATAGCTCTCTGTTGTGGTTAACACATGAGGCTCTTGCAAGGTTTGCCGGCATCTTCTACAGAGCCAGATAGAAAGCCAGGCCCTTAGCAAGCTCACTTGTGTGGGGGAGGCTCTTTTGTTTGAGTGGAAAATTCCCAAAGAAATCTTCCCATAAAATAACCACGCGCACAGCTGTGAAGTGGGCTGGCTGTGGAGCAGCCCTTTTATATCACACGGAGACCTCAGGCTTGACATCTGGAAGGCTGTTTCTCATCTTTGCTTAGGTATATGGAAGACGACGTCCTGGAAAGTCAGTGTTTTCCTGGCTCCTAATAATCCTAACAATGATTCAGAATATGTGTATTGACTTTAAGCGATTCCACAATGCAAGCACGTGTGGTAAATTAGAGCAGGTGGTGAAAGGGATGGCGTTAGGATGAAATGATACCTTTCTTCTAAGGACACTAAAACCCCCAAGGATGTGCTTTTCTCTTATGTTGTTAGGGGCACATAAATTATCTATGTCATCTTCAGGGCTTCATGTGTCAAAATCAAAAGGAAGATTTCCATTTCTTATTCTCTCCTTGCTTCACTGACTCTTGATACCAGTAGGCTGATAAATGCATTTGCCTTTTATTTACTGATAATGGAAAAAAATATTAAGAAAAAAATTTAAAATGGACAATTCCACTGTATTGGAGAGGGCAAATTAAAACTGTCATCACTGAATTTGCTTTTTTTCCCATAGTTTTTATGAGAGAGAAATTTCACCAAAAAGAATATGGTATTTTCTTTTAACAGCTATGTTTCCTTGCCCCACCCCATCCTGCAAAAAAGCAGGGGCTGACAAGATGGCACATTGGAATTCTTGTCCCCTGTGAGCTGGCAGAGGTGTTACCACAGACAGGCGGTACACGGCAATTTGAAGGACTGTGTACTTAGCAGAGTATCAGGTTTAACATGAAGCATCACCCCTTTCCTGCCCCTTTTAAGAACTTTTTACTTTTGTAACCTCTAAGCAATCATAGCTCACTTTTAGAGTGCTCTAAGGGCTTGGTTATTACTCTACAGAATGTGTTAACTATACTGCTGATGTTCTTTCTCTCCAAAATATGAATTTGATACGCAGTACTTCACTTGTAAAATGGCAGGAGTAATGTTTTAGAAATAAAGGTTAGAATTTTCTGTCTTCTCTCTCTCAATCTTGCTCTCACTCTCTTTTTCTGCTGCTCCCTTTCCTTGCCTGACTCTCCCTTTGTCTCTGTCTCTATGTGTCTCCTTTCTTTTCATGTAAGAAAATGCTATTTTACACAAGTCAAGTTTTGAGTAGACCCTTCAGCTTTTTTCTAAAAACCTGGAAATTAGATTTGTAACAGGTGATACGAAGTGTAAGTCAACCAGTACCTTCACTTTTTCTTGATATAGGTAAAATGGTTAATTTCAAGACTTGTCCTAGAGTGTCCACATTATATTTGAGATCCTGCTTTAGGAAAAATGGCATAAGTTTTATGGTTCTCTCTGAAATAGTTTAAGAAGCATATTCATTCCATAAGTAGTCAGGGCAACCCCTCAGAAGTTCTTGGCAAATGTTTTCAAGCTTCCCAGAAATATCAGTAGGTGGAAGATGGAAGAATGGGCATGGTTGATGGAAGGGCTGGGGACTGTGCCTTCCTGGGACCTCTCTGCTGGGCAGGGCAGAGTGGGTCCCACCACTTCTGTGGTAGTTCTGTGGTCAGGAAATCACTCATACAGAATGTCACTTCTGTTTATCTAGAATCAGGTGTGCTTGAGAATCACACAAAAGAGCCATCTCCAGTGATCTGGGGCAGGGTGCAGATGGAGAGGGGCAGGTTGCCACGCCACCAAACCACTGTTTATTTGTTGAGGTTTTAACTATAAAAGGGCTGAGGTTAATTTCAACTTCCTATTTTACCAAGTCTTAGGATTGAATAGAAAGCCATTTTGTCATGGCTTCATGTTCACGCAAGTCAAGACATCATCATTACTTGCTGTAGTCCAATTTTATCATTCTTTTATATTCCTTTTAGAATAGGGGACAGGGCAGATGCAGAGAGCTGGGGGAAGATGCTTGTTTGGTCACACCTCCTGCTGAGAAATGCCCTTGGGTAACCCAAGTGAGTAATTTTAAGAATTTGACTCTGATTTATCAAATCTGAGGAACCACATAAGGTGCGCAACTTCCTCCTTTGGGGAGATAAAGATGGGGTGATGGATGCTGATGCAGAAAACCATCAAACCCAGATAAACTAACAGGCCAGCGCTGTCGTCATTGTGCATCCTGGTTGCCATAAACACCTAGCCATAAGGCTTAACTCTTTCACTGGACCGATTGTGATATTTTTGGGCAGGGAGAGACTCTGATGTGTAGTATTCTATTCCCGTGATCTGGTGGCATGTTCTACAGACAAACTGAACTCAGGGATTAACATCTGCTCACTACTTCCAAGATCACACGTTGTGAACATGGGTCTCAAACCCAGAGTCTGGTGGCAAAGCCCATGCAGGTGAGCTGTAGGGGGCTGCAGGGTCGAGCAACATGGAGAATAGCTGCGGTCGCCAGTGGAGCCGTGGGAGAAGTGCTGAGCTTGTTGCTTTTAGAGGGTCCTGTAGCAAGTGTGTGCCATTGAAGTTAGACAGTGATGACTGGGCTCTGAGGTGGGCACCTTGATAATCTATCTCCTGGTATATGGTCGTGTCTTTTTAAAGATGGGAAAAAAACAGAATAATGAACCTCTGAGCATTCATTAAAGGGAGACATATGGGCAGGAAGAGGGTCTCTTAGCCACTTGGTCCCGGGTATTGAGGCAGCTGCCTTTTCCTCTGTGTAAGAGCTCTCCCTTGGACCCCTGGCACCAAGCTTTCCTACTTTTGCAAACCCAGGCAATATCTGATCATCTATAGAAGGGTAGGTGCCTCGACTTTAAGGTCTGTGTAGCCCCCAAGAGAGGCCTTGACCTCTCAGATCATCACCAATTCTTAGGATTCCAAATGATTTTTGTTTTGATGTTTACATTCCCTGAAACTTAAACTTTCTTTGGAAAGGCTCTGTTCTCATCCAACTTTCTGCAAAATCCAAGATACTGAATTGTCTGTTTTGCAATTATGTGGAGTTACTTGTGCTGGTCTAATGCTCTCCTTATCCACTGTGTGGGTAAAAGGTAGGACACCTTTCCACCTTCCTGTAGGAGGGGCCGTTAAACCCGTGTCCAGGGGGCCATGCCAGACCAGGAGATAAGAGGCCTGGGGATCTCCTGCCTGAGATGACACCATAGATGGCAGTAAACAGCAGGAGAGAAAATGACACGAAGGCCTTCTCCAGCCTTGGTGTGAAACATTCAAGTGCATAGCACTGCTTTCTTTCTCTTCTGTCTGTCTCTGTCTCTCTGTGTCTCTGCCCCTCCTTCATTGTATAAGCAGTGTGGAATGGGGGCTGTCCATTACTTTGGAATCAGATGCTACAGGCAAACGCTAGAAACTGTCATGTGTAAATCCATAAATGATCAATTACTGGTTCCATAAAGTATTCAGTGTCTAGAAATCAACTTGTAAGACTTTCTTAAAGCATTCAAGTGAATAATTATATTTCAAGGTAGCTCTGTTTAGGGGGTGGTAGAGTTGGGAACCTGAAAACCTATAGCATCAGAATCTTACATAGAAAACCAGGCTCCAACAGGAGTTCTCATGAAAAAATTGAGGAAAGGAAAGGGGGAGGGGAAGCAAAGGAAAGAAGAAGAGAGAAAACAAGGAAATGGAAAGGAAGGAAGGAAACAGAAGAGAAAGA